CCCCCGGGAGGCAGATACAAAATTGGTGGGAAAATTGCACTCAAAGGGTTATTTATTCACATTTGGTTGTCAAAATAGGGAGGATTTTCTCCTCTGGGGTCCCCCAGGAAACAGGTCTTAAGTCCAAAGGCTTCCCTTGAAAACCACAACGATGGCAAAGATAATCCACTTGAAAATGTTTGTGTGTGATCCAAAGAGGGGAGCTAAGCTGGGGGATTAGGGGGTGAGAGTTCCAGGATGAAAAGGATGTTAACAAAACAAATCTGACACGGGGAAAGGTGAAATTAAAAAAATAAATAAATAAAAAAGAGGATTGCGTGAAGCAGAGAGGAACTGAACACACAGAGACAAGACAGGGGGAAGCCCAGGCAGCAGCAGAGCAGGGGAGGGACACACACGGGTTTATCTCGCTTTTATATAAATATTTATTAGCCCCCGGTCCCTCCTGCCCACCCTTGAGAAAGGGCAGGTGACCAGCTTCCTGCAGATGGGAATTTGGGAAGATGCAACTGGAACATCCCCAACCATGGCCAGGTAGAGAGAACATCAGGGGATGCTTCTAAAATACAAATAATTAACTCTGAACGAGGCTAATTGAGAGTCACAAATCCCAGAATGCTTTGGGGTGGGAAGGGACCTTAAAAATCATCCCATTCCCATGGGCAGGGACACCTTCCAGGTTGCTTCATCCTGGCCTTGGACACTTCCAGGGATCCCGGGGCAGTCACAGCTTCTCTGGGCAACCTGGGCCAGGGCCTCCCCACCCTCCCAGAGAACGATTTCTCCCTAAAATCTCTATTCTTGAGCCCCCAGAGGAGAGGGGCTGAGGGTATTTGGGGTGAGCAGCACAATGCTCGAGCTCTCCCTTTTCCTGCAGAGCCCTCCCCACCCCCGAAGCCTTCCAGGAGCTGCCTCTGTGATGGGCACTAATTACCCTGCGCTGCCCACCCTCCTCCCCTCCCTCCCGAGCAAACACGCAATTAGCGCTCGGAAGATCAGCGCAGCGATTCCCACTTCAGCCCTGATTTTCCTTCCCCCTTTCCTCCCCTCCAATTAGGAAATTAGAGGGAGAGAAAAGCAAGGGTGGCCCTGGGGCTGCTGGCTGGTGATTACTGGTGGAGGTGCCTGGGATAATTAATGCTAATAGCGTCTAACAACCTGCCTGGGTTCAGAGAACAGCTCATCTCCCCGGCGCCCTTCATCTTCCACGTGGAGCAGGAGATGGGGAAAGGTTCCCTTCATTTCCCACGGCTGGGAAAATCCACCTGTTTCCCGTAGATTTCTTTATGCCTGGTTTGGAACCACTCGTTTCACCCCAAAATCAGACAGGAAGATTTCTTGATGTCTGGCTTTGAACCACTTCTTTCAAACCCAAAACCAGACACGGGTATTTCCTTATCTCTGGTTTGGAACCATTCATTTCACCCCAAAACCAGACATGGGTATTTCCTTATCTCTGGTTTGGAACCATTCATTTCACCCCCAAACCAGACACGGGTATTTCCTTATCTCTGGTTTGGAATCACTTGTTTCACCCCGAAGTCAGACAGGAAGATTTTGTTACCTCTGTTTTGGAACCAGTTGTTTCACCCCAAAATTCTGACATGAAGATTTCTTTAGATCTAGTTTGGAATCACTTATTTGACCCCAAAATCTGACAGCCGTGGCAGGGGCTGAGAGCTTCTGGAATTGCCTCTCTGGCAGCTCAGCCACTCCCTGAAGTGCTTCAGGCTGCCTGAACATGAGGAATCCCTTGCAGTCCATTCTTGATCTGAATCTCCTCTTTGTAGGAGCCTCTCCCTTCTCTTTGTCCTTCCCTTCTGCAGATCCAGCTCCTTGGCGTTGGCTAAAGTTACCTCTTCAGGGACAGTCATTCTCCTTTAACTCCTGTGTTTGGGATGTTTTAGGATCTTCCTTTCAGTCCTTCTCTGAATCCCTGGGCCCTGTAAAAGGAAGAGATTATCTTAAACAGCTCAGGTGAGGAGAAGCTCTTTGGAGAGGAGCAGGAGTGAGAAGTGTCATCACCTGTGGGCAGAGGTGACCCACCATCAGTGTCCTGAAATTCCTGAGACCCTCCCAAATTCCCCAAAACACCTCCCCCCTGCAGCTATGTCCATGGGGTGCTGCTCCTGGAAATGCTGCAGCTCCTGCTCCCAGCTGAAAATTCCCCCTTTTCTTGTGTCATTTAAACTGGGCAGGAGCTGTTCCCATTCCCAGCTGGATGCTCTTTTCCATGCCTGCTGCAGGCACTGACCCCAGGCTGCTCTCCTGTCCCAGGACACCCCTGCCCTCAGCTCTGGGCTGGTTTTTAGTCAGCGAGAGCAGCAGTTTTTAACAACTCCAGCCCCAAAGAAGATCTGTCCCCCACTCTGGGGTGAGTGGGAAGGATCAGCAGACCCAGGGATGAAGTTCCTTGAGCAGGATCCACAATCCACTGGAGAAGACGCAGATTTGGGGGCAGAGAGAAGGTTTGGCACACAGGGATTTCCATCCTTGTGTGATCCTTTCAGCAGAGCCTCCTCCTCCTCCTGGAACCTTCCGGAGTTCCTGCACCAGCATCTCCCACATTGTCCTGTAGTGTCTGTCCACATTTGTGTGACAGGGATGGAAGGAGTTCCGGGATGGGAACAGGAATTCCTGGTGCAGATGGTGGCAGTGGAGGGCAGTGGTGCAGCGGGGTGTGAACTGAGCAGGAACCAGGACTGGCTTCCAGGAGGGGAAAAAATCAACCCCCCAGGGAGTCCGAGGAGTTGCACCACGGGACTGAGAGAATTGAATGGGTTCTGCAGCATAATGTGTTGGAGAGGACAACCCAGAGCTCTCGCTCGTGCCTTGGCAAGGCAGATCCCTTTTCAAGAGCCGTGTGAGCAGCGAGGATCCTCTGCTCTCTTGCTGCTTGTTAAAAGCCTATTGGTGCCATTAAGGAGATCAAAACCCTATTCAGGAGACTCCAGTTCGTTCCCTGCCTCGCATTTGTTCCTTTACAGCAGTTTTTTTTACAACTAACAGAGATCCAAAGGGCTGTTGGAACCATTTTGTGTGAGCGAGAAGTGCAGAGCAAGGACTCGGTGTGACGTGGGTGGAGGTGGCACTGAGCTGCCCAGGGAGGCAGTTTGGGAACTGGGCTGGCTTTGAGCCTTGCTGAACCTCAGGAAGTTCCCACTCCTGGGATGTGTTTTCCCCGTTTAATTCTGCCCCTAGTTGGTGTTTTGGGGGTGCCTGATGTCCCCAGCTCTGCAGTGCCCAGCCAGGCTGAGGGAGGCAAGGCTGGACTCAGAGTGTGGTCCTGGGGCAGATTTGGGATGAGGTCCTTGCACAGCAATTTGAGTTGCTGGTCAACCTGTAAATGAACAAAAAATTGGGGAAAAGCATCATCTCCACTGCTTTGTGGGTAACTCATGCAGAGAAGGTTGGATTTGTCAGGTATTTAAATTCCAAGTGACTAAGGAGGATCCACGCACCTTCCAGAAGGAGCTCTGCTTCGTCTCCTGATGTGACACTGCCAGGATGAGGTGCCTGGCTACCAAACTCCCTCCAAGACAGGGCAGAAGACACCAAACTTTCTGGCCAGGCAGGATTTAGGACAGTCCCTGTGGAACAGCAGCAAGGTTGGTGGCAGAGCCTCCTCGCTCCACTCCCCCCGTTTTTGCTGTTTAGCAAGAGAACAAAATAAAAGAGGCAACAGACACAAACAAAATCAAAGGCACCACAGAGCAAAGTCTCCTCTGCTCGTTTATTTTGACAAGTCTAGTTGAAGTTTAATTATTTATAGCACTTCAGAGAGGAGCACGAGCTGATCTGTCACTCGTTTTGTAAAAGTAATGGAGCTTTAATAACAGCCCCTTAATGACAGCACTTAAATCCCTGGGGAAGGGAGGAGGGAACAGTGTGGGTTTGGGTGTCAGTAACGAGGTGAGGTTTGGGAAAATACTGTGGATCCAAATAGGACTAAAAGCAGGGAGATAAGAGAGAATGGCTGGAGCTGTGTCAGGGCAGGCTCAGGTTGGATCTCAGGGAAAGCTTCTTCCCCCAGAGGCTGGTTGGGCACTGCCCAGGCTCCCCAGGGCAGTGGGCACAGCCCCAAGGCTGCCAGAGCTCCAGGAGGGTTTGGCTGATCCTCTGGGGCACAGGGGGTGACTCTTGGGGCTGGGCCTGTGCAGGGCTCAGGGTTGGACTCCATGATCCTTGGGGGTCCCTTCCAGCTCAGCACATTCTGGGATTCTAAAAGGATTCTGTAAAGTGTGGTTGGCTCTGGGTGGGGAGGTGGAGATGAACCTCCAGGGCACAGTGTCTGCTGCCAGCTGGGACTCACTGGGGAGATGTTGGGATGAAGAACAGCCATAGCTGGGGACACTGATCCTGCCCATAAGAGCCCAGCACCTTTAGGATTTGGTTTGGGGATCACACAGCTCTTCCCTGCTGCTCTGAGGTGCCCCCAGCCCCCAACTGTGTGGCCCAGGAGTTATCCCACCCCTGGAGCTCTGCTGCATCTTCAGGGGCCTGGAATGTTCCCCGAGGAGGGAAGGGTGGAAGGGAGGATGTGATTGGAGTTAATTTGTCCCTCCTTGTGGCTGTTCAACGTGGAGCTGCTGCCCTGGCACCCCCCCTCTGTGGCACAAGGAGCTGGAGCAGGGCACCCCTCTGCCTCTCTTCAGACTTGCCCTGTGCAAGCAGGGTGCTGCTGCTGGTTTAGGGGGATCTCTCCCTTGAACAGCCACCCTCTCCTCCCCACTGGAAATGGTGCTGCCCTGGCACACCCACTGCTCTGACCGAGGAGAAGTTCCTCTGCAGTTTGACTTTAGCACATGGGGAGGCCTCGTTTCTTTGATATTTTCATCCCAAAAGTGTGAGGGAGAGTGGGAAGGAGCTGACTTGAAGCAGTTCATCCGCTCAGAGTGTGATTTACAGGGTCTTGGGGGACTCCACAGGAGCCTCTGGGCTTGTGGAGCTGCCCTGGCATCACCCACCTCTGTGTCACAAAGAGCTGGAACACAACATCCCTCTGCCTCCTTGTGCTTTCCCTGTGCAAACAAGGTGCTGCTCCTGCCTTAGGGTGATCTCTCCCTCAAACACCCTCCTCTCCCTGCTGGAAATGGCTCTGCCCTGGAGCACCCAGCAGCAAATTCCTCTGCAGCTCAACTTCATGATGTGAGGAGCCTTAATTTCTGTGATGTTTTCATGTCAGAAATGTGAAGGGGAATGGGAAGGAGCTGATTTGCATCAGTTTTTTGGATTTACGGGGTCATGGGGGGCTTGGGGGACTCTGGAAGCCTCTGGGCTTTAAGATGCCAACCACGAGCTCCTCTCTTTTCCTGGTGATCCCCTGGGCCTCGGGGAGGATCCCTGTGTGCTGCCAGCTCCAGAAACGTGGAAGCGTCTCATCCAGAAAGACAAGGCCGTGACAATCTCTGGCACTTCCTCAGCCAAAACCAGTCCTGGTGTAAAAAACTGCCAGGAAATCCCCCTGGTGCTCCCAGACATCCGTTCAGGGATTGAGGGAGCTGCTCCCCCCTGTGCTGAGGCTTCTTGAGTGCCCGTTTGCAGAGTTTCACAGTCTGCTGAGCAGATTTGAGCCATTCTGCGTGGTAAAACAACCTTTAAATATTGTGAAATCAGTCCTTTGGCAATCAAATTTACAGCTGCATGAGGTGTGTTGGTGGGTTTGTGCAACATTATCATATATATAATTATATATTTTATATAATTGATATATTTTATAGAATGTATGTTCTATATAATTTTTATAAAATATATAATATAATATATTATATATAATAAAAATATAATATAATTTTTATAATAATATAATTATTATAAGAATAATATAATATACTATATATAATAAAATGTATAATATAATAATTTCTAAAATATATAATATCATGTATAGAATAATATATAATATTTTATATAATATTTTATATAATATATATTATTCTATATATTATAATATATATTATTATATGGAATAAATCCATGCACAGAGGTGACTTTTCCCTATGGAAAAAAAACCCATAAGCATCTACATTTTCAGGGTGGGGAAACTGAACTTGTTATTTTAATGCTCAGCTCTCTCCTTTTCTGAACAGGCTGTGAGATGTTAATCTTTGGAGACCTTTATCCCTGGAATTACTCAGTGACACCAGCAATTAAAGGCCATGGGCTGTGACAGCTCACACCTGAATGTGTCCTCTAGAAAATGCTGGCCACCTCTCCAATATGTAGATGAATTAACAGTAATATCCCTCTGATCTCACTAAAATTAATCAAGTCCATCCCTGTCCTCTGAAGGGACGAATTTGGACTTTTCTGCTCTGTTTTATTAAAAAACAATGCAAGGCTCAGGGCAGGAATCACCCCCCCAGGGAGCAGGAGAGCTCTGAACAGAAGCAAAGAAGGTCCAGAATTGAGTTTCAGCCTGTGAGGAACGTGGGTGTTTTTTCTTTAATTCATTGAAAGCTTAAAATAAAAAAAAATTTTTAAAAAAAAAAGGAGTCGTGACGAGGCTCATGCCAAGATTTTTGCCACCCTGGGTGAGATTTGATAAACCTGGTGCTTTTTTTCCCCTCCTTTCTGTAATGAAGGCACATGGAAACAGTTGCTGGCAGCAGGGGATGAAGGATGAAGAAGAAGAGCAGCTTTCAGCCACGGCCAGCCAGCTTTATTACCAAACATGAGGTGCCACTTTGCAGTGAGGCTGAAAAAAACCCCATAAAATGCCCAGATCCGAGGAACAAACGTGTTGGAATAATCAGGGACAGCAAGAGCTGTGCCAGACGCTTCACCCACTTCAAATTCAAGGTGGTGAAG